GCTTTGACCCTCAATACCACAGGGAGAGAAAAACCAGGGTAGTAGGGACTTGTGTGTGTGTGTGTGTGTGTGTGTGTGTGTGTGTGTGTGTGTGTGTGTTGTTCTGTATCCAGTAGTCAGCAGAGCGCCTGGCCTTCTCAGGTACCCAGTACGTACTGTCGCATGAGTACCCATGAAGTTACGAGTGTTTGTCTGAACTGAATTTGATTGACTGTTGGCCATATGATCTCTGAAGGTGTTATGAGGACTGAAGGAAGCATGAAAGCTTATTAAGATTTTCCCTCAGTATTGTTTCAGACTTTTGTTAATTTCATGATACTGTATATGAAGATCACATGAACAGAAACATGCATTCTACCTATCTAGAGACTACTGTCCATGTCGCAAAATTCTGCTCGATCATCCCAGGCTGCCGACACCTTCAGAGCAAGCAGACTGCTCAGGAAGAGAATTCCTGCTTCGAGTGTTCAGAAAGAAGGCGGACTGACTGAGTTTTTCTGCGCATGGCTTCTGGTTGCCTTTTTAGCTAATGACCCTGGACTTCAGCTAATGACCTCCAGCTGGCTCTCAGCTTGCTTCCCAGCCCTCCCCATTTAACCTCCTCTCTCTGGTCTCACATCCATCGAGATCTTAACCACGGAGAAATGAGTCAGTGTCAAAGTTCTTAAGAGGGGCCCTGCTCTCCAGGCTGCAGGCTTTCACACCGGAGGAAAGAGAAGCAGCCATTGTTGGAAACTGGAAGTCAAACCACCTCCGATGCGTCAAAATCCTTTCGTGCTTTTTCATACCATACAAGCAAAGCTTTCAGTAAGGGGCAGCCCATAAAACAAACCAAGAAGTCCACAGTGGAACCCCAACCGTAATTGTGAATACCTGTGTGGGAGGCAGCAGGCGGCAACTGCAATGCAGGAATGGTTGTGCGTACAGAACAATACACACGGGGGGGGGGGGGGGGGGGGGGGGGGGGGGGGGGGGGGGGGCAGAGGGGGGGTGTTGAGTCAGGCTGAGAACATCTGTTAGCAGAACCTGCTGCTGCAAAAAAGGTTTCACTGTGACTGCCAGATGTGGACTTGGGGAACTTAGCTATGGGGGAAATAGGAACAAAGCCTATTGTGAGCGATCAGTGAACTCGAGCTCACAAAAGGCAATGTCCAGAGAAAGAGAGCCTTGATGAAGAAAGCCTCCTCCAGTCCAGTGGCCTGGAGGTTTCCACTATGTCAGAAATACTCTTTCACCTATCCTCACGGCTGTCCCCAAATGGGATCGTTCTCTCCTTTGGGCCACTCAAAAGTACCCCAGTCAGTGCAGCGTCCATTATGTTAAACACTTAAACCATGTGTTCCCCCAAATTGCACCTGATCCTATCAAGATGAGTCCCCACTTAAACTGATAGCCTCTTGGCCTTTCTACTTAAGTTTAAAATGTTTCCCAGGGGCAGCAGAGGCTTTTGAAAATGGCATCAAATTGAGTTATACCCTCATTTTCTGAATTGTTTTTTTAAATGCCTGTTTGCATAACCTATGCTTCTAAGTTCAGTTCAAAATCTGCCTCCATTAGCCACACTGAGACTGATTCATCCTTGTCGTAAGAGAGCTTACGACAGCCGCTATACACTTAATACTTGAACTGTCTGCTCTGCTAAGACTGAAAACACAGAAGGAAGGGTGGGCCGTTCTCCGCTCGCTGCTCACTCGGCTCTGTCCTTTGCATCCAGTGTACTCAGTAAAGAAGGGAAGAAGACACAAAGCTAAGAGAGAACGGAAGGCTGAGGAGGGGCCATTTCTCTGGGTTTTTTTTCCCCGGAGAACAACAGTGATCCCATCATTCAAATGGCCCATGCACGTTGTGGTGGGGATACAGCTCAGTTGATAAGGATGCTTGCCTAAGCCGGGCGGTGGTGGTGCACACCTTTAATCCCAGCACTCCGGAGGCAAAGCCAGGTGGATCATTGTGAGTTTGGGGCCAGCCTGGACTACCAAGGGAGTTACAGGAAAGGCGCAAAGCTACGCAGAGAAACCCTGTCTCAAAAAAAAACCAAAAAAAAAAAAAAAAAAAAAAAAAGAAAGAAAGAAAGAAAAAGAACGCTTGCCTACTGTAGTGGTTTGAATGAGAGATGTACCCCATAGGCTTGAGTATTTGGTTCCTAGTTGGTGGTATCATTTAGGGACAGTGCAGTTTTGCTGGAGGAAGCCCATCACTGAAGGCTTGGGTTTGAGAACTCACAGCATCGCCCACTTCTGGTTTGCTCTTTCTGGGGTGTGTGTGTGTGTGTGTGTGCGTGCGCGCGCGTTTGAGGAGCCATCTCTTAGCTTCCCATTCCTGCTACCATGGAACACATAGCTGTTTGCTGCTCTGCCTTACCCAACATCCCCTCCCCCGCCGACGGACTCTTATCTCTTTGGAAATGTATGCTAGATAAACTCTTCTTTAAGTTGCCTTTGGTCAAGGTATTTACCACCACCACAGAAAAGTAACTAATATCCTAGCACGCTTGAGGCCCAAGATTTGATTCCCAGCAGGAAATATAAAACAGAGTGTGGTGGTACAGCTGTAATCGTAGCCCTCGGGAGAGATGGGCAGGAGGTTCAAGAGTTCGAGGCCAGTCTTGGTTACACAATGAGTTTGGGGCCAGTCTGAACTCTATGATAAATTGTATTCTTTTATTTTATTTGATTATGTTAGTTTTAAGTTTATAAATTATTAATATTAAACAATGTGATATTAGTATTAAATCTCATTGATCAGTAAAAAAAAAGTAATAAAAATAAAATAAAATTCAAGAATAAAATAATAGCGGCGAGTATTCATTGAACCTGAGAAGAGACTATGATAAGCGTCATGTGTTCTCATTGGATCTTTGTAACAGCTCCCTGAAACACGCCTGTTACCAGCCAATTTGACTGTAAACCCAGTCTAGGGGAGCGGTGGACCTGGAATCATGCCATTAGGACCTACAGCCAGATGACGAAAACTCAGACCTGTTCACCTCCTTCCTGTGCTGCCGAGGGAGCAGAGAAGACACAGGAAGCTAGGTCTGCCAAGGCACGCCTGTGATGCCAGCTCTTGGGAGGCTGAGGCAGGAGCATTGCAGGTTAGAGGCCAGAGTGGCTCCATGGTAAGTCTGAGGCTGGCTTAGGCAAATTAGTGAGACCTTGTCTCATTTAAAACAAACAAACAAACAAACAAATGAGATGGCTCCAGGGGGAGAGAGAGAGATTGCTGAAAGAACATGCCTTCGATCCTGGAGGATCCCAAGTTCAAGACCTGCCTGGGAAACTTAGTGAGACCCTGTCTCCAAAAAAAAAAAAAAAGTGTGTGTGTGTGTGTGTGTGTGTGTGTGTGTGTGTGTGTGTTGGACCCTTGGTTCAATCCTTAAATACTGCAGGAAAAACAAAAACAAAACAAGAAAACATGCTATGATCAGGCGAATCCCCCACCAAGAATTACTATGATGTTACACTTTCTCTTTCTCTTTTGAATGAATCTCTGTGGGTTGTATAGACATGGTTTTAGCATGAATCCAAGCATACAGAAAACATTTAGTAAACACTCATAGAGATCATAATATGGACAGCAGTTTTGAACTTTGTCTTTAAGAACAAATGCTAAAATAATAGTGTAAATAATCTTGGGAAATTGGCAACAAAATCAAAATTTGAAATTATAATATCACTTCTAGAAATACCAGAGACCACACAGTGAGTGGGTCGACTGAATCCTTTGCAATGTTTTTACCGTGTCCAGCAATCAAAACAATCTCTGGGGTCTCTGTTCTTACCTTCCCGGATGGCTGTGAAAGGGACACCCTCCTCCTCGTTCATGCTGATGACCTTTAGGGCTACTAGTTGTCCGTTTATCCTAGAAAGGGGCAGGGCAGACACACACACACTCACTGAGATGGTTCCAGGCAACAGCTCCCATGAAGCTGTGAGAACAAAAGCGTCCCTTCACAGCACGCCCTCATACATAAACCTACCACTGTCTCAAGACACCAAGCTCATTACATAGCAAACATGTGGCAGATCTATTTCCAAGCAGCCTTCTCTTTACGCATGGGTATATTTTCTTTCTAGAACATTCAGAGAAAGCAGAGAGGCACCTGGAGACCACCTCCCTCCTGATGTTTGCTGGTCCCTTTGGTGCTCTTAAGCCAACCTCGTGTGCCACCTGACTTTGGCTGTGGCTTCATAACAGTCTCCTTGTGTGAACATTTGTGCCCTTTTTTTTGTCCAATCTCTGTAGAGTACCTGGGGACATTTTCAAGTGAAAGTCAACATGTCACTTACTTTCCAAAATCTACTATATCTGCATATTTCATTTCAGGTAACAGCCAAATTCTCTTTCTTTTTGTTATTTGTTTATTTGTTTTTATATAGTGGAGGGTAGGGAGATGTGGGTCTTGAAATGTAGCTCAGGCTGGCCTCCAACTTTTCAATTCTCCTGGATGAGCCTGTTAACAGTCCATGTCTTGTAGTATTCTCCAAAGTATTATCTGATTTACCTGAGTCTCACCATTTCCTCTCTCCTTCCCTCCTCCTCCTCACCATTTATTTATAATTTTGTTGTGATATTAGGTAAGTGTAGAGATCCAAAAAGATCTTTTAAGATCATGTTGTTTCTAAGACAGTGAGATCCACTGTCAATAATCTGTTCTCTCTCCATTTCACATTTTCTCTTATCATTCATGATTTTTTTTTTTTTTTTCCGGAGACAGGGTTTCTCTGTGTAGCTTTGCGCCTTTCCTGGAACTCACTTGGTAGCCCAGGCTGGCCTCGAACTCACAGAGATCAGCCTGCCTCTGCCTCCCAAGTGCTGGGATTAAAGGCGTGCGCCACCACCGCCCGGCCTCATGATATTTTTAATAGACAAGTTGGCCTTGAACTCATACCAATCCTCTTGCCTCAACTTTTCAAGTACTGGGATTACAGGCATAAGCCAGCATGCCTGGTTTTACCATTCACTCTTACACAATATGATATTTAATAACATTACAATATATTATCATACAAACATACCACAATGTATTCTGCCAATTCCAAATTCTTATAGATTGCAGTTTGGGGTTATTTTAAGAATTCTGTGAGGGCATGGTGGCTCCTGTTGTAACCGTAGCCCTTGAGAGGCTGAGGTAGGAGGAAGGTTGCCACAAGGTCAGACTGGGCTATGTGGTGAGTTCCAAAGACTAGCTTGGGTGAGTGTGAGACTGTTTCCCTGAAGAAAATAACAGGGGCTATGAGAAAAGATTTAGCTACAGAAATGATCATCATAGGTTTCCTTTGTGTTTTTTTGCTTTAAACTTCATTTTAAAAGAACAATTTTAGAATTCTAGAAAAACAGAGAAGATAGTATAGAAAGTTCCCATATCCTTTCGCTAGTTTCTTCTACTGTTTACTCTTCCTTAGCAAGGCACAGCTGTTACAACTAATGAACCAAACTGGACTCAAAAGGGGACCCCCACCTGTAATTCCATTGGGAGATGGAGGGAGGGGGATCAAGGAGTCAAGGTCATCCTCTGCTACATATGAAGTCCAGCCAGAAATGAAATATGATATTTAATAATGTTATAATATTTTATATGAATCTGTCTAAACAAAACACTAAATGCGTGTAAAATAGTGATAATAATTAATGAACCAATATTGATTCATCGTTACTAAAGCACATTAGGATTCCTTCAGCTTTTACTTCATGCCTTTCTTATTGTCCAAGATGCTATCCAGGACCACAGTGAGTTGTTGGGTCTCAGGCTCCTCTTAGCACTTTGCCACCTTTTCCTTGGGTGTGGTGACCTGGATGGTTTTGAGGTGCGCTGTTCAAGAACTTTGTAGAGTGCTCCTCTTTTAGGGTTTTTTCCCTGACGTTTCTCTTGAAATTAAACTGGGATTCTGAACTTGGGGAAGATCAAGAACCATCTTTACCATATTGTATCACGGGGGTGTTCTTTTGTCATGACTTGGGACTTCTGATGTTGACTGTGACTGCCTGTCTGAGGTGGCACTGGTTGAATGTCTATTGTAAAGTGACTATCCCCCACCCCTATTATAGGATTGACATCACTAAGTGTAAGCTGCACTTTGGGCATGGATACTCAGAGATCGTCTTCTGAGAGAGTAGATCCGGGTAAGATATCTCGAGTTCCTTTGCATGGGAGATTTATCTCTTCCTCTTATTTATTAATTTATCAAGCCGTTCATTTGTAGCAGCAGATTCATAGATATTTTATTCTTTGGGTTATAACTCAATACCACTTAATTTCATGCCCTGGTTTTGGCAGGTTTTCCCCGTTGGAAACGCTTCCATTGAGGCCCATGCCACTTTGCCAAACCCCTCATGAGTGTGGGCTTAGTTTTGATTTTACGTTCGCAGTCCGGCCTATGTGTTCATCGCTCTTTAATTTCAGTTTCTTTACTTTTGGACCTGCACGTCCCCCAGTCTTTTCTGTTTGTCCTTCCCTCACCTTTTTCTTTTTTTAACCCATGATCCTCCTGCCTCAGCCACTTTCAGCAAATCTTACCAGTGCGTGCCCCCAAAACTGGCCCCTCACCTTTTTACGGGAATGTTTTACGTAGATTTTTACCACTTGCTTTCCTTTGTCTTTCAAGTTTTGAACTTAAAAAAATATTTTTTATGACGTTTAGTATTTCCCAGAAATTTTTTTTTTTTTTT